CACCGCTAATGTTGCGTAACCGCCGCCAATCACCGCTAATGTTGCGTAACCGCCGCTAACCCCCCTGCAGCGTGGACTTCGAGCAGAACGACCGGTGCGAACAGAACTCTGCACCCATGACGATGGAAAAAAACAAATACGTGACATTCAAATATGACATCAAGTACGTGCAAAGTGAAAACTCATTTCAACACAGATCCGAACACTACTACAGAAACCTCAATGACCAAAGTATGATCCACTGGTTTTCAATTATAAATAGCATTATCCTGTTCATCCTGTTGTGGTTCCTCATAAGTTCGATTCTAATTAAAGCATTACACAAGGACATTAACAAGTACAACAGACTAAGTACAAATATATTTGAAACTGACGACATGGATGACCGTGGGTGGAAGTTAGTCCATGGAGATGTGTTCAGAAAACCTATTAACTCTACCTTCTTTTCAGCTTTTGTCGGGGTGGGAATACAAATAATATTCATGCTACTTGTTTGTGCTTTGATTCTACTCATTGGTGTGTATAAATACAAGCACAGGTATCGGTACATACAAATAATGTTTTTCATTTGGACCTTCATTAGTAGCATTTCAGGATATTCCTCATCACGTTTATATAAATTATTCAAAAGTAAACATGTAAAATTAACCATCTTCAGGACCTCTTTAATTTACCCTGTTATTGTATTTATTTTTTTTTTCCTCATTAATCTTGTCCTACATTATGAACACTCCAACACAGCCATCTCTTTCTCTTCTTTAACATTCGTTTGCTTCCTGTGGTTCGGCATTTCCATACCACTCATTTGTTTGGGGTCCTACATTGGAAATAAGAAGAGCCCCATAGAGCTACCTGTGCGTGTCAATAATATCCCGAGACACATCCCGAGGCAGCCCCTCCTCAACTCCTTCTTCGTCTCCTCCTTCCTCGTGGGCCTCATCCTCTTCGCGTAAGTGTACATACATGAGTGCATGTGCGCGGAGGTTGCACCTTTACACGGCGCTATTATGTATGCACTGCCACCCCTTTAGGACCATGTACACGGAGCTGTTCTTCCTCTTCACGTCCCTCTGGAAAAGCAACATGTACTACCTCTTTGGTAAGCCAGGCAGCGGAGTGTTACACATGCGCGTGTGCTCCTCCACGATATAATGGCTCACCTCACCCGTTTCATCTTCTTCTTCTTTTTTTTTCCCCCTCTCGGCAGGTTTCCTCTTTTTGGTGATTTTCCTGCTCGGGTTGCTGAGCGCGCAGCTGTCCATCGCCCTGACGTACTACTCCCTCTCCTGGTAAGCGTGTCACCATGCGTGAAGTCGCTCAATTGGAAGCAGTTACGCTCAATTATGCATAGTGTAACCCCCCCCCCCCGGATCGCATGGCCTGGTCGTATCATGACACCCCTTTGCCTCTTCACTTCACATGCCCCCCCGCAGCGAGGACTACAACTGGTGGTGGAAATCGTTCGTGGCCCCAGGATCATCAGGACTGTTCTTATTCCTTTACTCGGTCTATTACTTCTTCTTCAAGCTAAGCATCTCTAGCTTTGCGGAAACTTTTATTTACTTTGCCTACTCCTTTATCATGTCCTACACGTGCTTCATTTACACGGGCACTGCGGGCTTCCTGGCCTCCTTCGTGTTCCTCAGGAAAATATACTCCTCGATTAAGGTCGACTGACCTGTGCACTCACCGGTGGAGTGAATTCCATGCGGGGGCTTCCCCTTCCAAAGGGCCAGCTCGCACGGCGACATGCCGCAACAAGGACGGCGTCGTAAGTGATCCCCAATTATTCCGTCCATGCGTGTTTTTATCTTTTTTTTTTTTTTTTTTTTTTTTTTCGTGCACCTCCTCTGCTGCCTGTGCGCAGTGTAAAAGAGCCAATAATTAACACAGCCGCCACGCTACAAAGCGGCCGGTGTGTCTGTCTCCGCACACGTCGCTTTGTAGCGTATCTGGCGCCCCTCCATTTGATGCAACCCACCTGGAGGACATGTTTTTAATTCAACTTAGCTTTATGCCGTGTACACACTATAATTTGTTAATTATATATTTTTTTTTTTTTTCTTTTCCCTAACGACGTTTTAATTAATAAAGTATATACACCCACACGTGAGAGCATGACACGGCTGTCCAAACCGAAACGGCCCCCTAACCGTTGCCACTCCATGCCACTTGTGTTTTCCCTACGAGGAAGGGCGTGGGGTGACCCCTCTAAAAAAAAAAAAATACAAAATTGTTAATACGATTCAAACAAAAAAGGGGGGAAAAAGAAGTCTCAAATGTGAACATAAGTCAGCATGTAATGGTAAGTGGAACGGGGCTCCATCAGCAGGGGGTCCCTTCCACACTGGGAAGAGAACAGAAAAAAAAGCCACCTTGCAAAATGATTTTACCCGCTTTCAAATGCACAAAAAAAAAGACACGTGGAATGGAGGAACACGCAGATTTGGTGAACGGCACGCAGCGTAACGCATGTACATGGCATGTGTACGCGATCGGAGGGGGGTGCCCCCTTACGCCTTCTTCGTACTCGATTTGCGCGCCTTAAAAGGAGATTTTTTTGCCTTCACGCCGGTGTGCTTCCCCTTCACACCGCCTTGCTTCCCCCTCACGTGGAAGCCCTTCCCGCGCGCAGCCTTAAAGGGGTAGTTCTCCAGGTAGGCGGGCACCTCCGTGCCACTGCTCTTGACGAACTTCACAATGTCCTTCATATGCCTCACGTCCTGTTGCATGAAAAAGGTAATGGCCTTGCCCCCCTCTGCATCTGATCGACACGCCCTTCCTACGCGATGAATGTAACTGTACTTGTCACAGCACATGTCGTAATTAATTACCGTTTCTATCCCATGGACGTCAATTCCTCTGCTCAGGACATCTGTGCATACGAGGTACCATACGTGTCCTTCTCGCAGGTTTTTAAACACTTGCATCCTTTCCTCTTTGGTTTTGTCGGACGTGAGAAGGGCCACATGCGGCGCCTTTCCACCGTTGCTAACATTGCTAACCGCGCGACGAAGAGTAGCGTGTACCTTCTTGGCCTTGTCCACGCCGTTCACGAACACCAGCACAGGAATGTGCAACCCGCCCCCCACAACCAAATTTCTCAACACCAACCCCTTTTCCTCCTCATTGTTTACGTAGAGCAACTGCTGCTTCACATTCTTATTAACTGAGTTAATACTCTGGCCAAAGTACACCACTGCGTAGGTGGGGCAAAGGGTACTGATGAAGGAGCGAGTGCTACCTGGTAGCGTGGCCGTGGTAAACACCTTTTGTATTTTTCGTTTCTGAATTACTAGTAGAAGTTTTTTTACATGCTGCAAAAAATTTACTTCAAATAATTTGTCCACCTCATCAAACACCACCAGCATACATCTCGACAGAGTCACTTTTTTCATTTCAATCAGGTGAATCAGAATTAACGGGGTGCAGATGCACACATCTAGGGGGGGTTCTTCCTCTCTCACTTGGTCTTCCTTCGTTAGATGTAGAACAGAGAACTGTGGAAATGATTCAAACAGGATCAATGCCTGCTCGTGTATTTGGCTTGCCAGTTCGTTTGTAGGCACAACGATTAGGCTTCGAATAGGGGTGGAACCTGTTTTCTCTTCCACATCCATTTCACGGTTGTCGCTCCCCGGAGGGGAATGTGGACCCGTCTGCGTATGGGTAGCAGCGGCGGAAGCAGCCACCGTGGGGTCGTCCCCCCCCCTTGAACCGAGTAGCCGCATCAGGAGGGGAATCAAAAAGGCGCAAGTCTTCCCACTGCCAGTGTGAGAAATGCAAATGGTGTTCCACCCCCTCAAAATCGTGGGTATACAAATCTTCTGAATGTTCGTTGGGCTCTTAAAAGAAAAGGTCTCCTTAATTGTGCTTAACAACTTTTGGTAGTCATTCCTCGAGCAGACGCTCCTCCTGTCCACATGGTTTGTCGTCTCCCCTGATGCGGCAGGTACCCCACTTACACTGCTGGCATCCTCACCACCTGCCTCCTCTGAAATGTCCTTGAAGAAACGAATGGGCACCACACTCCCACTCATGTTCAAAAATTCCACGTTTATTTTATTACCCTTCATGTAGCTTGCAACCAAATTAGGGTCAGAAGAAAATTGTGAAAAGCTCATCAATTCGACTTTCCTTTCATCCTTCTCCTTCCTTTCTCTTCCATTTAATTCCTTTTCCTCTTCCTCTTCCTTCCTCCCATCCTTGCCCTTCTGTATGTTAAAAATATTTTTCAGCGGCTTCAGGTTCTCCTTCTTCAAGCTCATCAAGTCCTCATTCTTCAGGCACCGTCTTAAGTTCAGTCCATACGTTAGCTGCTTAGCTATCTCCATGTTAGGGCGCAGCGCATTATATGTGGGGTGAGGGGGACAGGCCAACCACCATACAAATCGACCACAGTGTAATGAGCAGGGGGCACTTCTATATAACTGCTCTGCGTGCAGCCGAGAGGAGTTTATATTATTTCTCCCCGTTGCGCCGCTCCCCCAGGGCAGCCTTTTTTTTCCCCCTCTTCAGCCCCTGCAGCGATCAGCAAAAAAAAAAAACAGGTAAAAAAAGGGAAAACGTGAAAATAAAACGATAAAAAGTAAATTGTAAAGAAAAAAAAAAGGGAAACATTAAAACGAAAAAATTGGCGCGAACAAATTACAACTCAAAATTGTTATTTTTAAAATTGTATTTTTTTTTTTTTTTTTTTTTTTTTTTGAAGGCGGAGGCGCGTAGGTTTAGCCTTTTTCTCTGCAGCATGTCGTTGGGGAGCCGTTGCGGCGTCGTGCCCTCACAAAAAAAAAAAACAAGGGCCCCAAGAACATACCCCCCTACATATAATGGGCCGCGCGTAGGTCCCCCCCATTCGAGGGAAAAATTTTCATCGCGTACATGGGAGTTTAAAAGTCTTCTTTACAGTTTCATTCAAGGAGCAAAAATGTTTGAGTCAAAAGTATGGGGCACGTGATGTCTATGTCGCTTTTATTTTATTTTATTTTTTTCTTTCCTCACCCCAAGTCGCCTGCTTGGTTGAAGTAAAAAAAACTTCACACAGGTACCCCCCCCGAGTTGCTCCTTATTTTTTGTGTACGTACGCGTTTTCTACCATTTTCCCTTAAGCCGCCGGGGCAGCAACGGGAGGACGATCCTTTTTTTTCCGCTTCTCTCACTCGAAGGCATACTTGCCGAATGGGCCAAAAAAAATATTTCACACTCAAACGAGAATTCAACTTAAAGCTAAAACAAGAGCAAAAGGCTACATTTAAATTCAAATTCAAATTCAAGGTGCAAATGGATCCACATCAAGTTGAAAAAGTTTAAAAAATTATTTCCCATTTGTAGGCTCTGCAAACTTCAAATTTCCCAACCGTGTTTTTCCCCCGTGCACTTCCCCCCCATTTTTCATTTCAATTCTTCGAAGCAGATTAAAAACATTCAAGTGTTAGCCGCTTTTTTCTCCAAGTCTGCACTTTTTCTCTCCGCATCCCCCAGTTTATAATTTTTTTTCGAGTAGAAAGAAAAAAAAAAAAAAAAAGTGTTGTTCTTCCGCTTGACCTCTTCCCACCCCTCTATCTTGCCCCTTTGCGAATGGCGAATTACGCAGAAACATTCGCCGCGTGGACGGCCATTTGTCTGACCGACCATACCCTCCTGGGGAAAGACGACACGGAGGAAGACGTGAGGGCGTTATGCAAAGAGGCAGTGAAAACGTGTCCTTTCGCAGCGGCCGTGTGTGTGTACCCCCATTTTGTAAAATTCATAAATGAACAAATAAAAAAAGAAATCGTACCCTTCAAACCAAAAATCGCTTGCGTTATAAATTTCCCAGAGGGGACAGATCCTGTGGAAAAAGTTGTGGAGGATACGTGCAAAGCAGTGAACGATGGTGTTGATGAAATCGACCTTGTGATTAATTATACGAAAATTATTCAAGACCCAAAGGGAGGAATTGAAGAAGCTACTCTTCTAACAAAAAAAGTTAAAGAAGTGTTAAAGGAAAAAATACTCAAGGTTATAATTGAAGTTGGGGTCCTCAAATCTGAAGAGCTAATCGTTCAGACCACCTTAGCTGTGTTGGAGGGCAATGCTGATTTTGTAAAAACCTCCACCGGGAAGGCACAAGTAAATGCGACGCCCAGTTCAGTCAAATCTATCGTCAAGGCAATGAAACTCCATTTGGAAAAAAATCCTCACAAAAAGGACAAAATTGGACTCAAGGTGTCGGGGAGCATAAAGGACCTCAGCTTGGCTAGCTACTACATTTTACTCGCGAGGAATGTGTTCAGCGCCCTCGCTTGCCACCCAAACAATTTCCGCATCGGGTCCTCTTCCCTTGTCCCCAAGCTCCGCAAGGTTATTGAGGACTGCCCTCCTTGTTAGCAACGAGACAAAAATGACGAAGAAAAAAGAAGGCAACCACTCCCCAAGTTGGCCCCTCCACACGTCGCTCCCCGGATGCTATTTATATGTATATGTATATTTTTTTTTTTTGCGAAAAAAATGCGCAACCGGGGGGGCATACGCGGAGTGAATTAAATAGTTGCAAAAGTGTGATGTACCAGACGAACGGCGTGATGAAGACAAACATCGGGCGGGAAATAAATTGAAAAAGAATTAAAGCTGAATTAAAACGGGGTTGCATAAATGAGCATTAAAGCGAAATATGGCCAACATACAAATGGGCCACGTAGCGGAAAGTGCATGTGCACAATGCTACGTAAAAAAAAAAAACAACACGTGAAAGGGGCGAGTGTACACAGCGGCACAGTTCGTACAGCCGTCGAAAAGTGGGAACCCCATCTACATGTCTGTTACATATGCACACTCGCGTCCGCAAAAAAAAAAAAAAAAAAAAAAAAAAAAATGGCCGAGTGAACTCCTAAACCCTTTTCTCACACATACTAAAACCCTAGTTATTGTTAACAAACCGACACAGACATTCAAAAATATTTAAACAGGTCTGGAAGTCATCAAAATTGAGCTTAAAGCTAATATGTTTGGGAGCCATTTTTTTGTAATCCTTGTTGCGCATTTTTTTGTTTTTCTGTTCCCCGTCTTCTTCTTTAACACCTTGTTCATTCGCCTCCTGGGGACCCTTTTTTTCATGAGCGCCACTCCCCTTGTCTCCAGCTGCGCCTTTCTTGGGTATCCACAAACAGCACAAAAATAAAAAGAAGCACGCGAACAGGCTGCAAAAAAAAAAAAAAATGAAGAAAAATGTATATACATGTGTACGCGTTACGTGACAAATTTTTATTCATGGTCAACGGAGAAGGGAGAGTTGTGTGTTTCCCCCGTGCTGCCTACCTCTTCACCGCGTACCAGATGGCGCCAAAACAGCCGCGGCTCCTCTTTCCTGAAGCGTCCCGTCCACTCTGCGTGTCCTTTTTCCCACTGTGACATTTGGCCGTACTACTCTTAGCTTCCTCATTTGCGCTCTTCGCCAAGGACAAGTAAATATTGTTGAACCTCTTTTGTATTTTTGAAAATGATCTGAAGAACTTGGTGGGGCTGTAGTACACATTCTCCATGACGTTCATGTTGTTGCGGATGGTAATTTTAATTGAGATGTCCTGCTCATTTGTTTTTTTGTTTAAGTTGATTATTTCGTTTCTCTTGGTTAAAGCTAGTTCCGCGTTCAGCAAGCAAATGATATTTTTATTTTCCGTGATGTCGTTCGACTCACATATTTTGTTTCTGAGGGACGACTCGCCGCTCGGCGGGTGCTCATCGCAGGTCAGGTTATCTGCAGGGGGGGGGAATGCATACACATGACGATATGCGCGCACGGGTGGTTACATACATGTACATGTGTAGAGACATGCGCGAATGTGTGATTCGGCCCGGCCGCATAGCTATCGCACCCGCTGTAGTAGCGCCATAAGTATGACGCGCAACGCAGCAACGCGGTGAAGGGGAAAACCTACCCATGGTGATGGTGCAGTTGGAGAGCGTGTTCCGCGAAAGGGTGTGTCTAGAGCTGCTCTTCCGCGAGGAGCGCTGGGCCCGACGCCTATAATAACTGTTAATGGCGAAGCTGTTGCTCACAGTGTTTATAATCACATCAATCTTCTTCAAGTCGCTCTTGCGAAATAAAAAATTAATTCTATTATCCTGGATGTGAAAAAAAAGTTCCTTGGTGTACACAAAATAACTGACCTTCTTCAGCGCAGGCAATTCAAAGAAGTCCTGGTAAGACAAAAAATATTTAAAAGGTTCCTTCAACATGGTGTACCTATTCAAAATCTGATGAATCCTTATGTAACTCACAATATTCAAATGGTTCCTGTTAGCATTATTGAAGAAATCTAATTGATTTTTATTCCTCTGCAAGTATACTAGCTCCACGAAAAAACGAAGGACCCTTTGAAACAATGTATTAATGGTGAGCAAACACAAGAGGAAAAATACCAGGTGCCCGAAAAAAAATAAATTTATAATCTGAACAATACTTAATAAAAAATTAAAGAAAAATGATAATCTTCTTCTTTTATTCAAATTCATTTTGAAGCTAGACATGAATAATTTATTTTCATTTGAAAGATCCTTCTTCCTCTTCTTTCTTATTTTGTACAGGACGTTGTAATACACTAGACTGATCATGTTAATATAAATGCTCACGTAGTACGAGAGTAATTTGGTCAGGTCAAAATTTTTGTACTCCTCAACGCAGTTGAAGGCTACTGTTTTTTTTCCCTCTTCTTTCCTTCGGTATATTCGAAACACATTTCCTGCTGTGTTAATATTTATTTTTTCAATTAGACTGATTAAGGATTGTAAGATCAGCGTCACTGAGAACAGCAAGGACAGCACCAGCTGAAATGTTAAGACGTACACCCCTATACAGAGCCTCTTTGCCCTTAGAAACACGTAACACACGTTTCCCCAACACTTGCGCAGCAACGATGGCAAACACCTCCTCCTTTTCCTTCCCCCCTTCCTCGTGCCGTTCTGGGATCGGTTGGACGAGCGTTTTGAATCGCGCTTAGAATCGCGCTTTGAATCGCGTTTAGAGTCTCGTTTAGAGTCTCGCCTCGAATCACGCTTAGAATCTCGCTTCGAATCCCGCTTCGAATCACGCTTAGAGTCGCGCTTACCGCCCCTCCTCCTCCTCCTGCGGCGGCGATCCCCGTCCATCAGAATCAGGTCCTCCTTCTGGTTATTAAACAGAACCGAGTTGAGCGACTCGTTATCATCAATGACTAGGTTCTCCAACTCGCGGCTCTTTAGGTTACTGCTGTAGAGGTAGTTGGCATTGTCACAAAAGTCCTCGTCGTCGCCATTTCGACTGACCCCACTCACAGCCACTAGGTCACACGTATCCACGACGCCCGTCACATGGTCCACACCGCAGAGGTCCACAACATCACTGGCGTCGCTCGAGTGGCTCTCATCACTGACACCACCAACTGGGTCAACTCCTCTCCGTCCGCTTCTTCCACTTCTTCCACTTCTCCCACTTCTAGCACTGCATGCGTCCTCATCGTAGTCCTTCTTGACCATGTCCCAACTGACGCTTCGCCTGATCATGCTGAGGTGGTGGTCCTCACTCATCATGTTGTCCTGGTAGGAGCTATTGTAATCATTCAAAAGGTGCATAATGTACCTCTCATTGCCCATAATGTCGTCCTTATCCCCAATAAGAGAGCTTTCATTGGACCCTTCAAACAAGTTTAACAAATCGTCCTTCTCCTGAACCTTCGTATATAGTTCCTCCTGTGCTAAGTTATCCTTGCAGTGCCTTCTGCGCATCCTCATAAGTCTCCTTTTATCATTCATGCTGCTACTCCCCTTCCTCAACGAACTGTCCTCACTCACAATGTAGTAGAACTCACGAAACGCTTTCTTCACATGAGCAATAAACGATGTCGGACTTCCAATAATATTAAACGAGATCAACAGGTTCGATATATTCACAATCGTTTGGTTAAAATAAAAGTTCAGAAGGAAGTTGGACAAGAGGGTGTAGTTGGTAAAGATGTGAATGTTCGAGAGACTCTTCAGACAAATGCTGCAGTTAGAAATATCCCCTAGCTTGTTATAAGCACTTATATACTCCTTGTAAAATAAATTGCTCACATGGCTATTCAATTCCTTTTTGTACTCCGATTGGAAGTTCAAGAGGATATTTATTTTATCAATGCTGATGTACTGCAGGTATACATACTTGTTGCTGCTTGTCTCTTCCTTCTTCTCGAGCGTTCCGCTTATGGGGGCTCTTTCCTCACGTCCACACGAGGGATTTCCCCCCAAAAAAAAACCACCACTAAACGGGACACCACTAACTGAGTTACCACTAATTGCATTTCCATCAATCAGTTCGCCATTCATGTGGACACCATTCATGTGGCCGCCATGCACAGCGGAAGTGCCTACTTGGCCAACCGCCTCTCCCCAACCCTTCTCCTGATCTCGCACGTCCCTCTCGGCAGACCTCTCCACAGTCTCAAATGGGTCCATCGAGGAGTGACAGCTACCCTTGAGCTCGTTCTTCAGTTGCCTTGCCTGTGCAGGAGCCAACCCCTGGTCGATCCTACCCACACGGTGAGAAGCAGCCAAACCACCAACCACCACCGCCTCTTCTCCCGACGCTTCCCTCTTCTTTCCATAGCTACCAAACGTCTTATAGAAGTAAAAAAGAATGGTGATTGAATTTATGTCTGCGTTTATGACTATCGGCTTGATGCTAAGAAGGAAGTATTTGATGAAAAGCGTTTCGCACTTCCTCATATATTGGAAATTACAAACTAAGAATTCTGTATTCGAAGCAGCGTCGTAGCACTTGTCCATTTTATCTCCATTTCGGTTATACAGTTGCAATGAAGACGCAGAAGATGCGCATGAAGAAGCAGATATGGAAGAAGCATAAGACCCACGTTCACTCTTACCACGACGTTTTTTTTTTAAAAATAAATTCCGCTTAATCTCCAACTCGTTAATAAAATAACGTAAGTTGCTATTCTTAATATTTACATCGTTGTTAATATACAGAATGGCGTAGGCGCTCAAATATTTATACACCACATAACATAATACATTGTCAACCTTTACGTCCACGTTGAAATAATTTATGTCTTCCATGTAGGCTTTTTTCACGATTAAATTATTCAACTCCATGGTAATCATGTAATCTGAAGTGGGTTCGAACAAACTTATTTTTATTCCTTTCATCATTAAGTGAATATTTGTAAAAATTTTCTTCACTTCGTTTTCTTCCTTTTTATTTTTTTTATCTATTTGGCTTGCTCCTTTTTTTTTCAAAGCGCTTTTCTGTTCATACGGTCGATCCTTTCCCACACAATGTTCACTGTCGCTGTGTGAGTCTTCTCCATTACCATCTCCTACATCACTACCATCCTCGCTGTGCTCATGAGGATCATTAGCGGACATGGCACCCATCAACATGGTGTCCTCCTCAAGTGCACTTCCTCTTCTTCCCTTGACACTTCCCCCCTTGGCATTCTCCTCCTCCTGGTCATCTCTACCATCAATGTAGCTACTCATGAGGAAGTTCAAATCGTCTCTTCTCCGGCGTCTTCCTCCACCGCTGCCTTTCAAAAAGGTGGGGTAAATTTTCGTCAGACCCTTCAGCTTCTTCTGGTTGTTCTTTATCTTCTTAAGTATGTAATCGCTGAGCTTCCTTTGCAGTTTTTTTTTTTTTTTTTGTTTTTTACTTTTCTTTTTCTTCGTTTGGAGGTTTGCCTCCTTGCTCAGGTACGTGTCTAGGTAGCTCTTGGCCTGGGCCTTCTCCCCGTCCAGCCCTTCGTCCGCATCGGCGTCCACATCGGCATCTACATCGGCATCTACATCCTCGTCGTGCACCTGTTCATCGAATACGCCTCCATCGTGTACATTTTCATCATCTTCGTCTCCCCCCTGGACGGTGACGCCCCCCTTGGAGTCCTGCCTGCGCCACACGCCTATCCTCTTCTTCTTGCCCGTCACGCTCTTCATTCTCTTCGTGTAATTTTCATTAAAAAAACGATTGATATACTTTTTTGAGGAGAATTTCCTATACTTGGAGGACGACTTCTTCACGGGGGGGGCCTTTTTATCTTCGCTTTTGGCGAGGATGGAACTCGTCTTTGTCCTTTTCCCTTGTGCGCCGTCAGACTCCCTCAAATTACTAGCACCACCGCTGTTGAAGCTGGGGTTGGCACTGTCTTGTACAACTGCCGCGTCATTTTCTCCCTCCCCCTTCTTGGGTCTCCCGGAGAGGTCCATATTTTTGAGCAGAAAAAAGGACGCAATACTAAAGTACTTATTCTTTTTCATTTTTTTCTTCTTCCTATTTTTCTTCCTCATATAAACAATATTAAATCTCTTCTTATGAAGAAAGGTCAATTTTTTCTTTTTCATTTCATCTTCATTTTTCACATTTCTTACACCCCCTTGGCTTTTCTTAAATTCAGTGCTAGACTCAAATTTATTATACAAATTCATTTTCTTATGTACTTTGCCTGTCCTTTTAAATCGACTAAACCCTTTCCTCTTGGAAGTATAAGACGCCGGTAAAAGACCTAACGAATGAATATTTCCCTTCACATCATGTGACAATTCCTCCAAACAAAAAACTCTCTTGCCATTCTCAATTTTCGTCACCACTTTAATCTTTCTCTGTTCATTCAATATAATATTATTGTGTTCCTTCACTATATTCACACTGCAGGAAAAAACATACACTTCATTCTTCTGGCATATTAAAAAGCACTTGATGATTTTTGGCTTCGACACATCAGACCAGCCAAATATTTCTCTTCCAAATGGCTTCAACAGATTTACAATTTTTTTTTTTGTTTTCCTTTGGTAATATATTAAATAATATTTAGTCAAATTGCAAATGATGGTGTCGGGACTTTTTTCAATCGATACGGTTATTTCTACATTGGTGTCGCTGTTCAAGGCTATGTTCACTTCTGTTATCACACTCTCTTCTTTATACTCATGGGTTCGGTTATTAGGGGAGGTACTACTTCGCATCACGGCACCGTTAGTATTGGTCGAGGGGACTGCTGCTGCTGCTGCCCCCCCCTGGGACGCTACCTCAATGACGAAATTCTCGCACGACTCTGCACTACGCCTTGATCCCACATCACTCTCTTTATGATCTCCGTCAACCAACAGGACCGTGTCTCCTGTCAGACCATTCCCCTTGCTCAAGCGCATGGTGCCGCTTATAGTACCGCTAACGGTGCCCTCCGTGTCCATCACTTCACCACCGCCGCAAGTCCTTCCCCCCGGTGAGTCACTCCCAAAGTCAACACACTCCACTCGCCTTATCGCCTTATGATAAATCTTCAAATTACCCACCTTTTCAATATCTACTGGGCTGGTGAAAAATAAATTTCGAAGGTCCTGTGGGCGCTCCGAAAAGCAACCAGACTTTTCCCCATTCATCATGGACGACATATTCCTCGACTTTATAATTTTTTTTTTCAAATAATTATTGAATAGGTTAGTAACGTCGTTCTCGCTGTTCATGCATTCGTAGCTTCCACCCCTACGAAGAAATTGCTCGTCTCGCATACAAGCGTTAATGTCCGTGTAAGAAAATTTGAGCAAGCACTTGTTTGTGTTTATGGGGTGGTAGTAAAACGACTCGTAGGGTTTTATTTGTACGACACGCGCAGGGAGATCACTTCCTCCTCCTCCTCCTCCCGCACCACCACTTGCTTCTCCTTTTTTTCTGCCTCCCTTTCCCCCACTGGACTCCTCACTAGCATCACTGGGGGCAATATTAATTCGCTTGGCCAAACGTTCACTGCAATTCACACCCTTCTTGTTATTCATGCCTTCCATGGAGAAGGAATAGTTAGTAGTAGGAAACTTCAAGTTGAGGTTTTTCTTCTCCTTCTTTCTTATCTTAAACTCTTTGCTGACCTCCTCCACATACAACCACCTGTTCGTATTGTTAACGATGGTGTACCTATTGTTCAGCGTGACCGTCTTTGTGTTGTAAAATTTCCCATTCAAAGTAATACTCATGGAGAGAAAAATGTTTTCCTGTTTATTCTTACTTGTTAAAATAATTTTTTTGTTCAGACACACCTCATGCATTTTTATTTTCTTCGAGAGGAATGTCTGGTTGTTAGACACAATTTCAAAAACGACCTTGCTCTTTTCAGTAGTTCCAAAAAACATCCCGGAATTGCTTTTAATCTTTTGTGCATTCCCACCACTGGACTTCACGATCAAGTCATTACACAAATTGTTTTGAAAAAAAAAAGAAGAATAAATAAGCAACTGCGACACGTTACTATCGACCAAGTGCTTCAAGTTATTCTCATCATAATTTGCATTTGTGAAATTACTTTTTTTCCTCAAAGTTAGATTAAGAAAAAAGTATTTTGGAATTTCTTTACACAATTTTGCATAGTCCTTTGGACCCAAATACACATACTTTTTCCTACTACCATAATTGGCCTTATTCCTTCTACACAAAAGGTAACTCAATTTGAATCTCCTCTTTTTATAAATGACGTTGTTTTCATTATCATTTATATACCCAATGTACATTTGAACTTGAAATGATTTATCTTCATAAGTATGTCTCATCGATTGTAATTCAATTTTTTTGGAAAAAAAATTATACATGTAATTATCCTTTTGGAGGACGTAAAAGAGTTTGATGTAGGTAGGGATCACATCAAAGTAACTAACCGACTTGGCTGATACTACATCCTTCCTGATCCTCTTTACCTTCTTTGCAACGCTATTTATTACGTACCTTTCACAATAACCAATTTTTATTTCTTCAAACATTAAGTTGTGTACTTCGAATATGTAATTTATTAAAATTCCAAATGAGTATACTTTATTCACTTCTAAATTCTTCTGTTCACAAATGACTGTGTTGCTATAGTTGCACTGCTTCTGAGCCGTGAACACGAGCTTTTTACTTCTCTCTTCGTCTCGGCTGCTAATCGTGTGCGATTCTCTTCCGGCATGCTTCTCTACGCTGTCCTTCGACTCGTCAACGTTGCCAGTGGCGTCAACGCTTTCTCCACTTACTGCGCTGTAGTCTACGCTGCCCCTGCGCTGCGTGTCTTCCTGCTGCTGCTGCTCCTCCTCCTCCTGCTCATCCCTTGTAACGTACCGACCGAACCCTAACTCACTGTTTCGTACGCACTTTCGCCCTATTGGGCCCCTTCCCAGGTCGTACAATGTTATGCTTCCTATTTTGGAGATCCTTCGCTCCTTGCCCAGGAGCAGGCCACTCATCTTTCGTTCACTCGACCTGCGTCTGGGTCTGTCCAGCCGCCCCACCGTGCCTCCCTTCACACTTCCATTCACGCTGCCTTTGACGCTACCTTTCATGCTACCTTTCAGGCTACCTTTCACGCTCCCGTTGACACTCCCTTTGACGCTGCCTCGGACACTCCCTTTCAGGCCCCCCCCTTCGTTCTCATAATTGTTCATGATGGCCATGAGTGTCTTCCCCTCACAGAGGGAGTCCCTCCTGGGCAGGCCACTCCTGCAACTTCCACCGATGGTGTCCTGTACCGAGTGGCCAATTGGCACCGTGCCGCCTATCAGTGGCGGTACCAACCCGTCTGATCCTCCTCCTGATCCTCCTTTATGTGTGGGCAGCGCACCTTGCACCTCGGAACGCACAGCTCCCTTGGATGCGTCCTCCTCATTTCTCTCATTAGATCCGCCCCCCCCTTTCCTGTCGTAGCAAATGACCTTCATGGCCCTCAACTTGAGTGTATGGGCATACAAATTGTATTTTAAAAAGTCCAAGGACTGCCTGCACACGATTTCCTTAATGGAAGAATTTCCAAGTAACTTTTTCGCTCCACTTTTAATTAAAAAGTTAAAGACATCAAAGTAGCACTTCCTGCTCTGTTCATATTTGTGCATGTAAAAGTCGTAGAACTCCTTCTTCACAATGTACACATAATTAATATTTTTTAGGTTATGACTTTGGCTATTTTCGTTCAGGTATTTTTCCAACCTCTTTAATATTTTGCTCATTTTGTTTTTGTTCAAAAGGGATAAGCTTCTGCGATTTCTGGGTGTCCCATCGGTGGGGGTAACTCCAACGTCATCATCCCTCTGACAAGGCTTCACCCCCATGGAGTGTCCTTCTTCTATGGCTGCTGCACCACCAATAGGACTGCCTTCCTCATGGGAGAAGCTCATGGAGTGGCTCTTTCTCCTGCGTTTCCTCCTTGCGTTCATTTCTTTCTCCACGCACGAACTGATGTTTTGCATGTTTCCTCCAGAGTCGCTTTCTCGCTCTCGCTCTCGCTCTCCATCTCCCTCTCCGTCTCCTCCGCAGCTGCTATCGTGGTCTCCGTGTTCCTCACTGGAGTTGCACCTGCTGTTCATAAAATCAAACAGAATCATAATGGGCACGAAGGAGATTAATGGTAAGTAGTATTTCTCCCTCCTGCCTATGACAGTGACTGCGCCTCCGCCTGCTGTCCCTGCTGCCGCTTTATCTGCACCACCACTGGTGCTCGTGTGGGTGTCTTCCCGGTTAGCCATGTTAACATGATCAATCTTGTTATGAACATGATGCTGTGCTTCATTGTGTCTTAAGAAGTAATGCAAAATGGGATGAAACAGAATGACAAATTTACTACTCGTGGTGTTGTTTACATACAAATTGGAGGAGAAGTATATGGACACGATCCCCTTTTCATCAATGTTAGTTTGTATGTACAGCTTAATAAAAGTTTTAAAAACTTTATTCTTCACCGTATGTTCATTATATGTATCGTATGTGAGGTCACATTTCTTAATGGTGATTTTTCTCTTCTTGTTTGTCTTCTTTAAGTGATATATGATTGGAAGGAATCGAATGTCACAAATATTTTTCGTCCTCTCAATATCCACAATCTCATATACATAATTAAAAATTTTCAGAATGACCACAAGTTCGCAGACTTTTCCATTTTCATCATTGAGCAATCCTCCATGTTCATTCTTCTGTAACTCGTAAAAGATAAAACGGTTTTTATTTTTATTTTTATTCTTGTAGAAACTGTTTTGCATTTTGTTCCTTAGTGATTGTTTAAATCTCACGTTGATCGTCAGTCCTGTGTAATTATATATTTTGGAGGATGTGTGAGGCGCAGACATGGACAGCTTTGCGCTTCTCTTGCTCCTCCTTTCTCCCACTGCCACGGCATCATTACGTCCCACTGCCATGGCGTCATTACGTCCGACTGCCAACCCGTCGTGACGTCCAACCGCCATGGCGTTCTTCAGTGCAAAATTCGGTATCACAATTCCTCGGTCATCATACAGAAGCGTTGCGCGGCCTGCGGCTACTTCCCCCCCTGGGGAGTCTTGCACATAGGGGGCGCCGCCACGTGACATAGGACTACCACTCCCGTACTCATAATAATTCAAAAAGGTCAGTGCATTCTCCAGCAAAGAAATCACAAACTCAATAATTATATTTTTACTCTTGTTTGCATATAGGATGTTGATAATGGAGGTCTCAAGCTTAAAATTCATTAGACGTATATTTTTTCTTTCATTTTCAAACACCAACAGAATTTCCATTTTCTCCAACAGAGTATCATATACAATCTTGTACCTATCGAACACGTCAATGTTCACATGGAGGTTGAAGAAGCTGTATATGTGTTGGGCGTCCTTTTGGAGGAAGAGCTTGAGGTTAAATACGCTTAGTACGATGATGGGCATATTGCGGTTGCTGTTTCCGTTATAAAAGTGTAGGCGCAGATCGTCCAGGTGGTGTTCGAATAACACTTCTTGCGCCTTTCTGTAAAGGTAGAGCAGCGCGTCCTGCACGAAACTCTGTTGTCCCTCCTCTGCACCGCTAACCGCGTTGCCCACCGCTGCGTCCCCCTCCACTCCCGTGCATGCACCCACAAAACACATAAACATGCTGTGGCACAACAATACATTTTTTAAAATGTCCTGTGACACGTTAATGATGAGCGGGTCATTGTGTATGCTTATGATTTCCTTTCCATACAAATGCCCACTGCCCTCTTCTCCGTCCTCCACCGAATGCGGCGTCATCGCAGAAAAGTATGTGTTCAGCGAATTATACTTGGGGTCGTAGTAGTAGGGGAGCAGGTTCATGTTCTCGTAGCAGCTACTCGTACTGCTACTGTGATCGTCCTCCTGTGCATCATCGTACTTTATTTTCTTCTTCACATTTATTTGAAAGCGCAGGTCGTTTAGAATGGTCTCATTGCCCTTATCCTTGGTGCTGAAACTCAGGATACAGATGCTGCACTTTTTGTTCTTTTTATGGGTGTATATATTCAAGGCTGGAATGACAAGCTTGCTCCCGAGGCTGCACACTTGAATAGACTTGGTCTCCTCATCGTGTTCTGCGAGAAAGGGGAAGAGAGGCACGCCAGCACAAATGTAAATCGCGCGCGGGAATTAGACGCACGCAAAAGGGGAAAACACATGAGAAATTGCACTAGCGAGAGCGGAAATGGCCGCACACACGAATTGCACCAGCGCGAGCGGAATTAGACGCACACGAGAAATTGCACTAGCGGTGTGACTCACCGTTGGTCGCCTTGCACGACGCGGAAAAGTGCAGCTCCAGCACGGGCAGCAGGGACACGTAAGAATTGCACCGCACGTTCTCGTAAAACGTGTATTGCGTAATGGTGAAGTGATATATGGGCACACAGATTCTATTGTTTTGTAAAAAGGCACTGTAGCTGTACTTCACCGGGTTCACATTCACACTGGCACTCTCATCCACAGAGTTGTTATCTGAGTACGCATACGAGGAAATGTCTCTAATCTGTTCAAATTTTTTTCCTAATTTACATAACCACTTGTACAAGTTGAGCAAGTACAAGTAGTCCACAATCAATTCTGCATTAACTAAATAGAGCTGTACATTTGTTATATTTTCATTTTGTTTCCTTTTCATGTATTGGTATTTTTCCTCATAATCCTCTTCTTCCTGTTCGGGGTAAAAATCGTCCTCTTCCTCCTCTTCATGCTCTGCCTCTTCGTATTCCTTTTCTTCTTTGTTTTTGTTTGCCCCATCGGGGGGGGCACCATCCATCTCACAATGTGCTTCACCTTCATGATCACCTCCATCCGTTGCATCTACGACAATGGTGTTGTTGCCTTGCACTCGTTTCGCCCTCTTCACATCCTCCGCTTTGTATATTTCATGCTCTGACCTTCTTTTATTTTTTGAGGAGGACTTTCCCTCTGAGCTACCTCCATCTTGGCTGCCCTCTCCTTTGTGGCTACCCTCATTCGGCTGTGGACTGTCCGGGATGGACCCACTGGATGGGTTGTTCGTGGTGGTGTCCTCCTTGGGGCCGTCCCTTTCGTTCAACGCACCCTCTGCGAGGTCATTACTATTATGCGTCTCATCCGGCTTGTTTGGCGCCGCTGTAGGGGCTGTTGCTGCAGAGGCTTCCCCCTGCGCCGCTTCGCCACCCACCACCTCCACGCAACTCTCATACCGCACGTTTTCCTTGCCCCGGGTTTGTTCCCCCACGGAGGCGTCCACACATGTCTCTGCCCCCGTCAACAACTTGGTCTCTTCGCCGTTCGGGCTGTTGTCCACATTAAAAGTAAAATAATCTGTGTTCAAATTATTGTAGTAACTGGTGTTCACAAAGTCCACACTAGTGCTGTGCCTCTTCTTTAATTTCTTTTGGTGTGGTTGATTCAGATTCCTCACCCCTTTATCTGCATACATATTATTTAAGCGCCTATAATTATCAGTCTTGAAGTAGCGCACTCCATTAGATTCTTCCCCTTCTGCCCCGACTCTCATTCTTTTATGAATACCTCTCTCCCCCCCGAGAGTGCTCTCCGCCCCTCCTGCAGTCATTTTGCCGTAAGACAAAGAGTTCCTTTTATCTTTCATATACGATCCGTTTTGCAATTGTTGTGGAGGACCACTAGGTACATTATTTCTACACGAATATGAGAACAGAAAATTTCCATTGTTTACTAACTTGAGTACACTGTTATAAAAATAAATGCTACCACCACTGTTGGTCTTCTTCATCTCATTGTGTTTTGAGTTCTTCCTGCTCATCTTACTGGACACACTTCTTCTCTCTATATAAGAAATGAAATTCTTCTTATATGCTTCACTCAGCAAACAATTCAATAGGTTTATCTTTTTCATACTTAGAGCCATGGTAGAGACACAGGCATCGTTGAAGGTATATATGAGCACATCCGACAAATGCACAGATATCATTCGCTTGTTCCTTTTGTAATTATTAAAATGAAATTTTGCCTTTTGAACGAAAACAATAACTTCTTGTTTGTTTCCTTCGGTGGTCTTGTCCATGTAGGGGTCGTATTCCCTCCCTGTGTGCTCCTCATTATTTGCGTATCGGTTGTGTTGACTGAAGTGGCGATTGTGCTGACTCATTAGGCTGTCCTTTCTTTCGCGCCTCCTCTCTCCTTCGTGAGGTTTACGAGTCCTCGCCTCGTCCTTCTCGGCGTCACCCTCACCGGCCGTCACCTCCTTCTCACCGTCACCTTGACCAGTCATGACCTCCTTCGCCGCGTCACCGTCACCACCCGTGACGTCCTCCACCGTGACCTCCTCCACCGTGACCTCCTCCCCATGCACTTGGCCCTCTCCGCTGGCCACCGCATTGTCGAGCAAAATTTGCAAAGTCTTATAACTTCGAAAATCAATGGTGTTTAAATTCAAGTAAGTGCACTCGTCATTGTTGCTTATAAAATAACGAGTAACACAATCTATGTAGTTTGCGTAGTGGAAATAATAAAAGACAAATTTAAAAACTGCTTTATCATCCATGTTCAGACTCAAGTGATGCTTATCCTTACCATGAACAAAAATTAATTTCTTTTCAGTGTTGTCATTTGAGTTGTATGTAATTTGATCTACATAAATTTTTTGTGGCTTCAGTAGGTACCTTTTGTTTGTTTCATTTTTATTGGTTAGGGCATTCTGCATGCTATCATCACTTTTATTCTTAATCATGAAAATGGAAAATTCAAAACTTACTCTCGTTTGTTCTATGGTCGTAATGGCGCTTTCTTCTCGGTCCTCCTCAGCATCATCAACAAGGTCCACTTCCCTAATGGAGGAAAGCTCTCCACTGAATTGTCTCTCCAAGTTCACATCCATGCTGGATGCTACTTTTTCATTTCGTAAATTCTTCCTCTGGCTATTCAAAATGTACCTCTCACGTGCAATTTGTGGGCACTCACTTCCTCCGCCATGACTACTCAGCTCTCCTCCCTTGACCAACTGCTCACTCACTTCATCAGCGACCGCCCTACCATTTACACTCCACTCATTACTGAAACTACATGAGTTATTATTCACGCATATTTTTTGAGCCGTTTCCACATCTGCTAAATTGTTGCTCCGCAAAAATGCTTGATAATGTTTTCTGTACTTCATTGTTAATTTATTGTCTTCACATATGGAAGTGTCTTCGTGAACGATGCACTTGTTACTTGGACCCTGTTGTTCGTTCGTCGTTTGTTCGTGGGGCAGCGGTGGCGGGGTCCCTCCGGTAGAGGCTTGCCCTGCCTTGTCGGTTTTCATGCTCGACATATCCACTGCATCCTCTGCACTGGCCTTATTTGGGCCCGAGCTCCCCTCCTGGGGGGCATTTGCTCCAGCGTGCTCGCCGCCCTTATCGGGTGCGGGTCCCAAAGCGGCACTACTGTCGTGCTGGGCGATGTGCGGCGCGGTGTCTGCCTCCTTTTCTGCTTTATCGTCTCCTTTATTGCCTTCTTTATCGTCTTTTTTATCGTCTTTTTTATCGTCCCCTTTACTGTCTGCGTCCTTGCTGGGTCCCTCGCGCGGTAGGTGATCCACGGAGGAGGCGGAGCCGCCAAACTGTGACCCCGCCGCCCCCTCGAGGCCCTTCCGCGGGGGCTTCTGCTGCTGCTGTTTCTTCCTGGACTCGTCCTCCTCCCCATGGGCTCCCTCCGTATGCAAATCATTATGCAAATCATTATGCTCGGACAGCATAATCAGTCGATCCACATGGCTCCTCAAATGTGTCTTGGTAAAAAAAAAGGAATTCCATCGAATCTTCTTAAGTCGTACGAGAAGAGAGTACTTTTTATTTAACACCAAATTCACGTACACATTATTTAACAACTGAAGATTCATATCAACAAAGTCCTTTTCTGACGCTACGTACAATTCCTTGCAGTACTTCTTCCCTAGCAGGTAGTAGTAGTATAAACTTTTGTACGTTTTTATTTTTTTTTCCAAGTCTAATGTGTCGTACCTATAATTTATATTCATAATTTTGTGAATTTCCCGAATGCTCAAGGTGATAAGTACATTTTGGTTGCAACGAACATATATTTTGCTTTGGGAGGTGTCGAACTTTTTATACACAAATAGGGTTAGCGCCGGTTCTCTTATAAACTCTTTAAGGTGTTCCTGTTCCGCTTTATCATTTTCGCCTTGTTTTGTAACACGCACTTCGGGGTGACCTGCCTTTTGTGATTCACTTTGTTTGTTTGCCTCTACTTTGGCCGTCTGCCCTTGTACGGCAACAGGTTCCATCGGTTCGCCTTCTACCGCTCCCCCTTTTGCGTTGACAGCCGCTGCGCTGACAGCCGCTGCGCTAACAGCAGCTGCCCCCTCTCCCAGATGTGCGTTCAACAGGTAGGCTTTGTTCTTCCACTTGCCCTTTTTGAATAAATCTTTTTTGTGCCCGGCTCCCTCTCCATGGTGGTGTGGCCTCGACACATGTTGCCGTGCATGCTGCGGGAAGAGTTCCACGAGGGGGTACTTCCTCCCCTTGTAAAGGAAGTTCACACCCGCGTCACTCAAACGGATGTGATAAGCAAAATCATTGTTTATATAATTTTTAAAATAGTATTCGAACGTGTCCACGGTCAGCTGTACAGACTTTTTCACATTCTCATGACAGTACAAAATTAAATTTACTTTTCCTATGGATGCTCTAAAGCTACAATTGACTGAAAGGTTACCACTGCCTCGCCCGCTGCGTTCACTTATACTGTTGGAGTTGCTCTTCAAAGTGCTATTACCATTGACGCTGCTTGTTCCGTCTTGTTTCGCTCCCCCTGAAGAGGAACCACTATCAACAGTGTGTACATTTTTCTTGGTACCACTCTCCAGAGAGGCCTCCTCGGCATGCTTCCTTAAACTAGATATGACTTGGAAGCTGTGTGTGTATTCAAATTTTTCGATAAAGTCTTTGTCATGCTTTTCCTTCTTCTTCTTTTTTATTAACTCCCGTTTATACATGAGAATGTCTTTCACATCCGGTATATTTAACCACTCCTCTAGGTAAAGCCCATTCACAAAACACCCATACACAGAATAATACATAATTAAATCAGATAGGTAACTGAGGTGCTTAAAGGATAATCTCACATTCAATTTGTCCACATGAATTTCAAAACACATGTATTCATTTTCTTTTACATTTATTTTTTCTTCAAGTATATCTACCTGTTCAACATGTGTACATTTACCTCCGTCCTGAATTCTATAGTACAGACTTTTATTATTATATTTTGATATTCTCTGGGTTTTTTTTTTTTTTTTTCCATGAGATAGTGGGCCACTTGCAGCATTCTCTGCTGCCGCGGCTGGTGCATTCGTTTCGTTACTCAGAGGGGGTGCTTCTCCTTCACGTGGGACATTCACTTTTGCCTCCTCCCCGTCGCTGCTTACGCTTACGTCAGTCATTGCTGCGTCGTCCTCCGCTTCGTCCACGTCATCCACTTCATTCGCGTCATTCGCGCCGTCCGCTTGCCCCTTATCACCTCCCCCTTTCCTTCGCTTCCTCTTTTTCCTCCTGTTGACCTGGCGCAGCCCACCGAAGGGCGTCTCGCCATTATTACTACACACCTCCGCGTTCAACTCAGAATAAAGTTTTTTATTCCGAGCCTCTAGTTCATCTTTCTCGAGAAAAATATTTCTGAATAAAGACCTCTCCTTTTTCACCTCTTTGCATTGGTACAGATACCTATCACAATGTGGACATGTGATGTCGAAGAAGTTTTTTTTTTTAAAAATAAATTTTGCATTACGGTAGGAATAGTGGCTACAATTACTAATGTAGAAATTTGTACTTAAAACGATGAGAGGGATTTCTGAAATAATATATTTTTTTGTATGTAAATGGGTACATACATCTTTTATCTTGTTATATATATCTACCTCGTTAATATTTCTTTTGTTTTTTTTTTTCTTTTCTTCTTTTTTTATAATTTTTGTAAGTTGGTATTTGGCCTTGTCATCTTCCATGTAAAAAATTACATCACTGAAAGAAAAATTTTTCTTTATCTTATTTGCGCTGCTCTGACTTTTCACACTTGATACACTTTTAACAGACAAGCCTACAATGTTTTTTTTTTTTTCTGCACTTTCTAATATAACTTCCAAATTTTCAATTTCAATGGACATATTATTATATAATTCATACAGAAGGTAATTAATTCCTTTGTTTATTTTATTATTTAAATCATCTTCCTTGTTATTAATATCTTCTATTTTCAGGTTATTCTTTTTTGCTTCCTTTATTCCATTTATTTCTTCATTAATGTTAAAATCGTTGAAGTTTTTCTCCTTCACCACGATCACCACGTCGCTGATTTTGAGGCTCGCCTTCTGGAACAGGTACAGCAAGGGGATCTGCGAACGGAATGCAGGAAAAAAAAGGGGTTATTTTGTACCGTCGTTGCAACTGTGCGAGAACAGGTGCACAAGGGAAAAAAGGTGCGCCGCGTACACACCGCGTATGCAGACACTCCGCTTACCTGCAAATCGAGGGACCGGATGTACCCATACTTAATCGTGTAGGGCAAATACAAAAAGTCAAAAAAGTTTTTTTTAATTTTAACATTTTGCAAGTGCACCTTTCCTCTGATCAGCGAAGTCTGCAACTGCTTCTCTTCAATATTTTCAAAAAACGAGGAGAGCAAAAAGTTCACAATACTTTTGTACAATGCCTTCATCATTGTGCAGAGCGGTAGGCAAGGACAGAAAAAAAAAGCATGCAGCTGTGTGTACGTGTGTCGGGATTTATGTGTACGTCGTTAGGCATCTTTCACTAACATCCACATGGGAAAAAAACAATATAGGACAGTGTGCGCAAGAAAAAAAAAAAAAAACGGCATAAATAAGAAAGAACCAAAATTGTGCAGGCTCTTTTATCTTCCCTTTTGTTCATAATACTTTTTACACAAAAAAAAAAAAAAAAAAAAAAAAAACGTGGGCAAGTGGGAAAGAAGACTCTAACTGGCTACACTGAACGGATCCGTGCAGACCTGCGTGACTTTTTTTTTCTCCAGATGCACATGTACGTTGTGTGTAGGGGCATCAGCAACAAATCAGTTTATACTGCACACCCACTAATTAAAAAAAAAAAACAGGCACAAAAAAAAAAAAAAAAAAAAAAAAAAAAAAAAAAAGGCGCACACATGTAGGAAGGTCGATAAACGCACATACATAATAAGTATAATTACATGTTACACACAAAAATATGCGCATGAATCGACCTTTTCTCTACTTGGATCCAAGTTGCACGCGACTGAAAATGGCACAGTACAGGAACACAAGGCGGATATGCCGTGCGTCCACTCCGTTTCAGTGGGCGCACCCGGAAATATGCCGCATGGACATTGACACCTACGTGCTCACAACGCGCATAAAAAACATGCAACGCACAAAAATGGCGCCCCCTGTCCGCCGCGAGATCAACAGGAAAATACACGTAGAAAAATCAGGCGGCGTGGCAACTAAGGGAAATTTAAAAAATTGCCCAGGCAGAGCGCCGGTTAAGGAAAAAAAAAAAAAAAAAAAAAAAAAAGAGAAACCAGGAAAATCATAAAAACAGTAAGAAACATTCAAATGGCGAAATGCAGAGCCAAAAAAAAAAAAAAAAAAAAAGGAGCAACAAAAATATGGCCAAGGCATATAGCTAAAAATGGAGAAACGGAAAAATCAAAAATCAAAACCGAAAAAAAAAAAAAAACGGCCAAATCTTCTCTTCCCCTCTATTTTAAAAGAACTAGCAAATTTTTTGAAGTATCACAAAATGGGTAATTTTTCAGTTCTTGGCCAGAAGAGAAGAAGAAGGGGGAAAAAATAATTACAAGAAGGGGTAACCGCACCGTCGTGAATACTATATTTTGGGGGTAGGGCGTTCGCCTAAACATTCCCCCCTAAGCGTTTGCAGAGGTCGCCATGGCACAGGGTGCCCGCCCGCCTCTCATATTACACAGAGGACGTATGCGCATGTACATGTACCATAGGCATACCTGCAAAAGCACGCATACGCGTGGCTGCGCTTAGCGGCATGTAGAAAATGGGCACCCCCCGTTCTAACTCTGAACAAATGATATATTCCTAATTGGTAAAAGTAGGTGAGCGCGCGGCCAAACACGTGCGCAAGGTTTTACATGGTTACCAAAAAGGGAAAAAAAAAAGAAAAAAAAGCATAATATAGAAAGGCTAATAATAAATGTAGGCGCAATGAAACGCTGCAAAAAAAAAAAAACGCAGACCATTTGTACATCGCTCTATGGCACAAAATTGCGGGAAATAAATCGTTCCGTGAATTTTTTTTTTTTTTTTTTTTTTTTTTTTTTTTTTTTTTTGCCATCTATACATTGTAATGTTAATACTGGGAGAATATACATGTATGCACACCCGACAAATGGGGAAAAAAAAAAAAAAAAAAAAAATGGAAGAAAATTTATCCAGACTAAGTTTACACATCTCCACACGCTTCAATTTTTCCTACTATGGACGCGGTCGCCTGTGTACATTTAACTTTTTACGCGCAGAGTACAAACGGGACATTCGCGTCAGACACTGCGACTGACCGATGTAGACGCACTGCTCGCCAGCGCGTCTGTTTTTTTTTTTTTTTTTTTTTTTTTGCCAATTCGTCTTCTCTGCTGAAGGGGGGGACGCTGTGCAATTTTATGCGTGCGTGTAACGGATATGCGCGCCAATGTACCCCGCCTAAATATACACAATGGCGCACTCCTGCCCGTAGTACGCGCGCATACCCGCAGTGTGCGCACGTGCACCCCCGCACGCAAAAAAGTCTTCGAATCTTCGCCTCGGTGGAATCAACAAAAATTGGGGCGCATTTTTTTCTCCATTCGCAAAATGGAAGGTGTAAAAAAAAAATGGTGTCCAGATGACTTTTCTCTTTTTTTTCCCCCCCCTTTCTGCATGGGTCATCCTTCTGTTCTCCTTTTACTCTTTTTTTTTTTTTTTTTTTTTTTTTTTTTTTTTTTTTTTTTTTTTTGTTAACTCTCCGCGTCGCGACAACGGTAAAATGGACGCGATGGTGGACGCGGCGGTAATTTTATCATTTTTGATTCTTTCCTTTTATTCCTGCGCACGTCCCATCGCCAGACTGCTTCGCCCTAATCAGTCGCAGGGATGGACGCCCCTACGGGACAGACATACACAACGCATTCTTCTCTGCACCGGGGAAAAAAAAAAAAAAATATATATATATATATATATATATATATATATATATATAACGTGTAGCGGGAAAATCTCGTGCGTCCAGCGAAAACGACAGTTGCGTTAATACCCGGGAGGGACTTCCACGCCGCCTATCATGCCGCCCCTCTGCTCCAAGTCACCTGCTGCAATTGTCCACCACGAAATTGTGAAACCGAGGAATGAAAAAAAAGTCACCCCTTTCGACACACCTCTCCTGGCTACCCAGGACGATTTTAATCTTCTCCCCTGCGTCGACGTACCCCACCTGCAAAAAAAAAAAAAAAAAAAAAAAAAAATGCATGGATGCAGACACAGTAACGAGGCGATCGCAACAAAAAGACAAAATGGTGGGGAGTAATGTGCCTCCAAAAGGAAGCTTACCAAGTTGTGGTGGAGGCTGTTTGAGCTGTATGTTTCTCCTGGAATCATCCGGACGCTGTACAGGCTGAGGTTCACCTTAACGTCGCTAAACAGGTTCTGGGTGGGGAGAAAAAAAAACAAATAAATAAACATAACACAAGGATCAGTAGCACTCATTAGTTGCCACTCAATAGCTGCCACCCCCGTTGCGCTCTTTTTTTTTTTTCTTATTCCTTTTTCGTTCCCTTCATGGGGGCGCTTACCTTTTGGACGAGGGGCAGACTTTCGCACGGGGAAAAAACCTCCTTGAAATGTGGAATGCCTGCAAAAAAAAAAAAAAAAA